GCCTGTCCCCCATAGAGAACATTCTAGTAGGGACCCACAGACAAGAGACAAAATTTGATATGGTAAGTAAAACAGTGATAAGTGCTATTAAAAAATAGCAAAGGAATATGAGGTATGTCGAATGTTGGAGGGGGAAATTAATTTGAAATTTTTAATATGGTGGCCCAAGAGGCATAAATGAAAAAGTAATACTTCAGTAAAAACTTGAGAGAAGTAAGGGATCATCCCATGTGAAAAGTATTCAGGGAAGGGCACCTGGGTGGCTCAGTTAGGTAAGCGGCCAACTTCTTGCTTCAGGCTCAGGTCATGATCTCATGGGTCCTGAGACTGAGCCCCATGTCACTGGGCTCCACACTCAGCAGAGAGTATGCTTGAAGATTTTCTCCCTCTGCCTTTCCCTCAGACTTGCACACAGACATGTGCACATGCGCCCTCTCTCTCTCTCTCACTCTCTCTAATAAATAAATCTTTTTAAAAAATAAGTATTCAGGACGCCTGGGTGGCTCAGTCAGTTAAGACTTTGCCTTCAGCTCAGGTCATGGTCCCACGGTCCTGGGATTGAGTTCCGCTTCAGGTTCCCTGCTCAACAGAGAGCATGCTTCTCCCTTTGCCTGCTGCTCCCCCTGCTTGTGCTCTCTCACACACACTCTCTCTCTATCTGAAAAATAAATAAATACATTTTTTTTAATTAAAAAAAATAAAAATAAGTATTCAGAGAGACGGAAGAGTGGGAACAAAGCCCTACTGTAGGAGCATGCTCCGTGTCTGAAGAATATCAAGGAGAACAGTGTGGCTAGAACCCAGCGAATGAGGAGACAAGCAGTAGAGAATGGAGTCAAAGACAAAACCGAAGACCAGATCACATAAGTAAGACCTTTGTCATGACTTTTGTCATTATTTAGAGTGAAATGGTCACTGCTAGAGCATTTTCAGCAGAAGACATGACCTATCTGGCTTATTATTCCAAAAGGATCACTCTGGATGCTGTACTGAGACTTAAGGAGGGCAAGAGTGAGAACAGGGAGACCAATGAGGAGGCTGCTTCAATAACGCACCCTCAAGGGCATGATGGCTTGTGCCAGGGCAGTGACAGGGATCGAGAGAGAAAGTAGTAGATTTGGTATATATTCTGAAGACCTCAAAAGAGTTCCTCACTGTTTAAATGTGGGATGGAGTGCGAGAAAAAGAGAAGAATTGAACATATTTGGCCTGAGCACCAGAAGGATGATCTGTTATTAAATGACATGGGGGAAACTGAGGGAAGAGCAGGTTTGGGTTGGAAAGAAAATCAGAAAGCCACAGGGCTAGGTTAAGTCTGAATTGCCTATTAAGCATTTAAGTAGAAAGATGCCGAGTAGTCAGTTACATTTATGTGTGTATGTATGTGTGTGTGTATTCTATAAAATAGTGATAATACCAAGTGCTAGCAAGGAGGCAGAGAAACTGGATCACTAATACGTTGCTGATATCGACTGAGGGTGGGGATATAAATTTGGGAGTTGTCAACATATAGATGGTATTCAAACCATATGTTAGACGAAATGACTAGGGGCTTAAGTGCAGATTGGAAAGAGAATAGGTCAAAAGACTTCAGTTTCAGGCATCCTAATGTCAAAAGTGCAGAGATGAGATGAAACAAGCAGAGGAATCGCAGAATGAAATGACAGGAAGAAAGGAGGAGAACCAAGATAATGTGCTATCCTAGTGAAGGGAACAGAGATATTAATCTTGCTGGTTTTTGGTGAGGCTTAACCGAGATGAAAGCATTGAACAGGGTCAGTCCCATAACTGGTGTTCAATTCAGTCTAGTTTGATTCAGTATATACTTGTTAATTGGTACACTCAAGTTTTTTGTGTTGGTTTGTTTTATTTGGTTTTATTTAGTCTGCTCTAACCACATCTTTATGAGAAGAGCTACCAAAAAAAAAAAAAAAAAGCCTCTCAATTTTGCTACCTATAAGCATAATTAACATGCAATGGAAATGAACTAGATAATTTACCAAAAGAATAACAAACAATCTCTAATGCTTTTTCTTAGTTTACTTGTACTACTGTTAAATCTTGAGCTCAGAGGAAATGATAGCTTCACTACTAACAGGAAAACCTAAACATAAATCAACCTTGTTTAGTCATTCAAAATTAATACAGTAGACTAGAGAACCCAGAAACAGATTCACCCACATATACCAAAGTGATTTTTAACAAAGCGTCAAAAGCAATTCAACAGAATTGCTTGGAGTAACTGGACATCTATAGGCAAAAAAAAAAAAAAAAAAAGAGCCTCAATATAAACCTCACACCTTAAACAAAATTTAATTCAAAATGAATCCTGGACTTAAGTGTAAAACATAAAACTATTAAAATTTTGGGGAAAATCATAAAAGAAAATCTTCAGAACCTAGAGTTAGGTGAAGAACACAACAAAAGTTAAAAGTGATAAACTGGATTTCATAAAATATTAAAAATCTCTGCCATGCAAAAGACACCATAAAGACAATGAAAAGGCAGCTACATATTGAAAGAAAATATATATAAACCACATATCTGACTAAAGATTCATAGTTACAATAAAACACTTTCAATAGTTTAAAAAAAATTCCCATTAGATCAGGCATTTCACAAAAGAGGTAATTAGTACATGAAAAGATGTCATCATTAGCCATTAGAGAAATGCAAAGTAAAAACAACAGGACAGGGGCACCTGAGTAGCTCAGTCTGTTAAACGTCTGTTTTCATCTCAGGGTCCTGAGATCCAGCCACACGTTGGGCTCCCTGCTCAGTGGGGAGCCTGCTTATCCCTCTCTTCCCCACTTGTGCTCTCTCTTACTATCTGTCTCTGTCTCTCTCAAATAAGTAAATAAAATCTTAAAAAAAAAAAAAAAAACAGGATATAGGCACTTGGGTGGTTCAGTCGGTGGAGCACCCAACTCTTGGTTTTGGCTCAGGTGTCGGGCTCCTCACTCAACAGAGTCTGCTTGAGATTCTTTCCCCCACCCCCTTCCCCTCTCCTCTTCCCTTTGCTCATGCTCTCTCTTGAATAAATAAATAAAACCTTAAACACACACACACACACACGCACACACACACACACACACACACACAAAACAGGATAACACTCCACACTTAATCCAAATGGCTAACATAAAAAATACTGGTAACATCAAATGTTGGCAAGGATGAAGAGAAACGGAGTCATTCAGACATTGCTGGCAGGAATGTAAAATGGTATAGCCACTCTGGAAAACAATTTAGCAGTTCCTTAAAAAATTAAACATGCACTAACTATAGCACCAGCAACTGTATTCCTGGGCATCTACCCTAGAGAAATTAAAACTTATGGTCACGTTGTCTCACCAACTGAAGGACCTTTGGGTTGTACACAAATATCACAGCAGCACTGTTCATAATAGCCCCAAAGTAGAAACAACACAAAAGTTCCTCAACAGGTAAATGGTTAAACAAGCTGTGGTATAATACAATACTATGCAGCAATACAAAGCAACAAACTTGACTTATACTCCAACTTGGATGGATCTCAAGGGAATTATGCTGAGTGAAAAAAAAAGCCAATTCCAAAAAGTGACTGTATGATTCCATTTATACAATATTCTCAAAATAAAATTATAAAGATGGAGATCAGTGGTCACCAAAAGTTAGGGTGAAGGGTGGAAGGAGAGGTGGGTGTGTCTGGAAAAGGACAGATCCAGGAGCCTGGTGCTCATGGAGCAATTCTGTACCTTGAATGCAATGGTAGTTGCACAAATCTACATACGGGATAAAACTATAGATAACACAAACACACGTACTTATAAAACCAGGAAAATAAGGGTAATCTGTGAAGGGGTGCCTGAATGGCCCAGTCAGTTAAGCATCTGGCTCTCGATTTCGGCTCAGGCCGTGATCTCAGGGTTGAGGGATCAAGCCCCTCGTAGGGCTCCATGCTCAGCGGGGAGTCTGTTTGGGATTCTTTCCTTCTCCCATCCCCCCACTCATGACCCCTCTCTCAAATAAATAAATAAACTTTTAATTAAAAAAAAAAAAGAACTATAAAGACCATACCAATGTCATATTCCTAGTTTTGATATTGTACATTGGGGAAACTAAAAGGTACACAGAGTCTCTCTTTCTTTTTTTTTTTTTTAATTTTATTTTTTATAAACATATAATATATTTTTATCCCCAGGGGTACAGGTCTGTGAATCGCCAGGTTTACACACTTCACAGCACTCACCATAGCACATACCCTCCCCAATGTCCATAATCCCCCCAACCCCCCTCCCCCCATCTTTCCTTTTTTTTTATTAACTGCCTGTGACTCCATAGTTTTTCAAAAAATAAAATGGTTGCCATTATTGTGAATTTTCAAGGTGCTCATATAAAACATGCCATTCATGTAGAATACTCATGTAGAAATCTGCTATGCTTTATGATTAGGGAAGAAAGTAGAATTCTGGTACTAAAAACTTTACTAAAACCTCTCCAGAATAGTTCATTTCTCATGTTTTCAATATGATGTAAGAAGAGGTAACCATACTTTCACAGCATCCGAGAGGAAAAGGACACACGCATAAGAGCTCAACTGAGAAGGCATGGGATCTAAACATGGTTCTAAAGTCAAGTCTGTGTTCTACAGGTGAAATTTGGTCCACAGACGGTTTTGTTACTGCCCACAAGCCAACAGTTTTTACATTTTTAAAAGGTGGTGAGAAAAAACAAAGAAAAATGTGACAGAGACCATACATGGCCTATAAAGCCTAAAATATTTATTACCTGGTTCTTTCATAAAAAGTTTTCCAACCCCTGCTTTATAGTATTCCTCAATGAATTACATGCCAACCTCAGAAGAAAGCCAAAATTAGAGTTTTTAAAAAATCCTTCCCCTGCTTTCACGACCTGTTTGCCCTTTCATAGAGAAGTCTTCAGCCTTCTGGCAACTCCCCAATCCTGGACTCTCCTTTGATAAGAACATCATTTCAAGACGTTGCACTTGACAAGCTTACCGATGGGAGTATTGCCTTTAGGGAGCCCAAAGTCCGGAACGAAATTCTAAAGTCATGTCCCCATTCAGAAATACAGTGAGCCTCATCCACAGCAATAAGGGTGATACCTACAAAAGTGAAAAACATAAAAATGGGGGAAATAAAGTTCCAAAAGAAGTCATAAATTCATCTAAATCAGTATCACCTCCACTTAGAATATATAAACTCTACAGAAAGGAGAAAAAATAACTCCAATCAAAGTATATGCTTCATATAAAAATATAAGCATAAATGACATCGGGTAACACCAAAATAAGCATCATGAGAACAGAGGATGGGAGATATAAAGGCGTATGGATAAAGGATATGGATAAAAGGAAACATTCATATATTATATATTCATATATCATATATTATTCAAACAACATTATTTATTTGATTTCAGCTTTCATCATTATTCCTCAAAGAAATGAATTACTTACTACTACTATACCCTCAAAACTATCACTCATGAACCATTTGCAATGACAATGCCTTAAAAAAGAAGAGCGGTTTTCTTTTTCCTCTTTGGTAATACTTTCAATTTTATCTCATCAATTAGTTACCAAAAGAGATTAAAGAGCACATTCCTACTGAGACCAGGTGCATCATCACTGTCCATGACCGATCACATATCAGACCGCAGAGAGTTCCTCTGGAATGCCAGTATTGGAAGACAGGATGATAGCTGCATTTTCTAATGTAAAATGGTAAGAACTAAAACTCGGTATGTATAAGTAGGTAAGAAGGAACAGAACTCATTCTTTCTTCCCTTATCAACGCCCCCAACTCTGCCCCCATACCACACACGCACACTGAAACAGAATCAATAGTGTATAGTAATCATTTCAGAAAAGGGCTTTATTGTAAAACCGTCCATTAAAATGTCCAAAGTAATGACAGTAGCACTTTTGCCCTGTATTATCAAATTAATACTTGAGACAAAAATAATTTTTCCATTAATGGAGATGATCATTACTTGATAATTGAATATTAATGATTTTCTGCCATTAGGGGGGGTGATGACAAATATGTGCTCTAGAGTCAGACAACCTGGCTCCACCACCAACATTGTATTACCTTAAGCAAGTTACTTAAGCTTCCAAGTGTCAGTTTCCCACAAATAAAAGGTAAATATAGTAATACCTAACATTTTTTAGTCACTCTGAAGATTGTTAGGTATCAAATACACATAAAATACTAAGATAGGACCTGGCAAAAAAGGCAGCTCAATAAAAACAAAACAAAACACCAAACAATTATTCTTAGAGTCATTAAATGCCTACTATGATCAAAACACTTCTCTATAGGAAAACATTAATAAGATGTACTCTATAACTTTGAGAAGCTCCGAATTCCACAAGAGGAGACAGACAAGCAAACAAACAATTGTAATTCACTGAGATTACAAAATACAACAGAGATGAAAGAGAAAGCAAAAAAAAAAAAAAAAAAAAACCTAGTAAATATGAATACAGGCTGATTAGCATCAAAATTCTCTGGCTGCTGCTGCATAGCTGGGAAAAATTCAATGTTACCACTAATTTTGGCTTTAGAAACTAAATGACCCAAATTTTAAATTAGGTTAAAACAAACATGATGGCTTCTCTTTTATTTTAAAACCCTGCTTAAAATTACAGGTTTAACTACCTACCTCTTAATGAAGCTGAACTTTGTCCCTTAGCATCAGTTTATGGAGCTTTTGCTAACTTTTACTTTAAATTCGCAAGTCCAAGTGTCTGCCCAAGTCCTAGGCATATTTCATTTTGGCATATCTGCCACTCAAGCCTTATTTCTAAAGTCAAAAGACAATTATAAGTGTCTTTGCTTTTAAGGAGTCTCCGTATAAAATTATGTTTGCTGCTTCTGTTATGTACTCATACTACCTAAATAATGTAACATAAAAAGCATAAATCTGATTAGCTAAATGTCAGACTACCATACAAATAGAATTCTGAGTAGATTCATTTTTGCAAGCATTTTACAATTTCCTACAAACAAAAGCCGAAGAAAAAAAATATTTCAAAAAGAATTTATCCCTTTTTGTTCAACATTGAGAGTCAACCCCCCCAAAAAAAGGATGTTCATCCATCCTATGCAGAGTATTCCTCTCTAATGATGGCAGTGTTCATAATTTAATCCATTACAAAAACTAAAAATAGAGAATTAGAACTAGCTGTCAAAGGATCTAAGTAAATACTTAAGCTAACAACCCCACCCCAGAAACAAAGCAAGTATTAAAATGGAACAAAACATATCCAGCTTACCATGGACACAAATCCTAACTTTTGATATAAAGCCATAAAATACATATATCTAGGGTATTTAGGCCTAATCCAAAGTGAAATATCATTACGAACTTCATACAATCTTATAAGACACACACCAAATTTGTCTTCCATTAAAGACAAAAATATAATATGCCAATAAGGGATAAGAAATTGATAACACATCACTGATAATGTATTTAATCAAATGTTAACTTCTGCTCTGATTCTTTTGTTCGTATTTAATATATACCAAAAAGAAACAATTTGTTTTCATTTTATTGTTACAAAAATTATTAAATACATTCCTAGAGTTATATGCTACTAAGCAACAATTAAATGAGGTGTTGCCATATTGAAAATTAACCTATCCAGAATATTGTAATATATAACTATACAATGAGATCATATAATATTAGGAAACTAAAACTGGTTGGTTCAACTGAATGTTTCAAATAACAGTACCTATGACTGCAATTTGTGGGTAGCTTATTCTAGCCATCAAGAAGGAAAAAAAAGATAAAAATTTTTGAAGTACAAAAAGGGAACCAGCTATGGATTAATTCTGTATTCACATTTTCTAGGAAATAAGCTCTGACTTACTATCTAACTTTTTAAAACCATACTCAATAGTGGGAAATAATCAAAGGTAGTATGTTTTCCAACCCTAACTACACATCAGAATCACTCATGAAAAACTATAGGTGCCAGGGGACCACCCCAGGCATGTTGAATCAGAATTTTCAAGGTTGGAGGACACTATATTTTTCTAAAGTTGTTAAAATGATTATCACGAACAAAGGTGGAAAACCACTACTGTGATTTAATTTAGATTCAGAATACAGAAAAAAGAAATTATCATTTTACAGAATCTAAGATTCAACATTTATTCAATAATACATGTAAATCCCTGCTATATGCCAGGTACTGCATTAGGGCATTTTTTTTTCCCCAAAAAGTTTATAGTCCAGTGAAAGAAAAGAGATATATAAATACACAATTTATAATACAGGAACCTGATTTCTACAGCAGAAGGACTTTTAGGTACTAGGGGATAAGACTAGACAGACATCAAGTTGGAAAGTCAGAGACTTCCTGGAGGAAATACTGTCTGAAATCAACTTTAAAAGAAGTGAAATCCAATATCCAACCACATATTTAACTTTAAAGGATAACTCAATTAAGTCAGTACTTATAAAAAGATCCTATGGTACCACTTACCAATATTAGCCTGAAGTTGCTGGAGTAGGCTCAAGTTACCTGAACAGAATTCTGGAGTTAGGTATACAATGCGGTATTTGCCTCTGTAAAAATAAGCAAACAAAAAAGAAACAGGAAAGGAAATATTCTATACTAAAGGAAACAATCATCCAGTGAACTACAACTTAAAACCGTAACACCTGACAAATTTTTAAATGATACATTACACCACTTAAAACTAAAAAAATGTTATATGCATGTATATATTCACACATATTAGTCCTCTGACTCTACTTCAACAAAGCAAAATGAAAAGTGGCTCTCAGGGGGTATTCAGCATTAAGGTGACATTAGAAGCCATGTTCTAATTTCCAGCAGTCTAGCCCCAAAACTATAGTGTTTGAGTTAAACAATCAAGCCTTTTATGTGCTGGCAAACCACCCACATACCACCCTCCTTCTTGGAGAACTATAACCCATCACCCTCCCACTGACTCCCTCCCCATGAATAAGCCCATAGCACCCATGTTTCTCCTGTGTATTTTGTTCTCTTGCCTAAATACATCTTCTTGGGACAGGGTTAGCAACTTTATCGATGTCAAATCAATTAGTCTCTGTCCTAGATTTTGGGGGTCTGACCAAGAAACAACTAATCAGTCCCTGCCAATGGCAAGACCTGTAATATTTGAAAAAAGTTGTTGCAGAGTGGTCTTCTCCATCTTGTGACTAGAAAAGCGGAAAATGCTCATTTCCTCAGAAGAATAAGGAAGACACACAGAGACTATAAATAAAAGAAAGCCTTATTGTATTCTTGATACCCAATTCCAAGTCTCTTCCTAAGGGGTGGATAACTTGTGTTCACTGTGATCCATGAGACATTCCTATATCCTTAATACAAAATTCAGTATTTGCTTAAGCTAACTTGATTTTTTTCTGTTCTGGGCAGACAGAATCCTAACCAAGACAATGTTTGTAATAAAGGTTAGTAGGGCATTAAAAATATATAGTCTCCTTTTCATTCTACCAAGTGAAAACATAAAGTAAAATAGAATGAAAATTAATTTCCCTTATAAAAAAAGACTTTAAAATATTTCATCTACTGCATGCTAGGCATGGCGCTTTCATTAGGAATTAGGAACAAAATAGATATGCTTTTAATCTCATGAAATTATTCAATATTCTAATTCACATTAGAAAACAGTATAAATAACAAGCTCTGATGTCAAACTGCCCAAGGTTTGAGTCTCAATTCGGCTTCTTATAAGCTAAGTGATCTTAGCTAAGTACTTAACTTTAGTGTGCCTAAGTTTCTTCAGTGTAATATAGTAATAATGATTATAAGGACAGGGGCACCTGGGTGGCTCAGTGGGTTAAAGCCTCTGCCTCCATATGATGTAATGTATTCACCAATAAAAAAAAAGGAATGGGGCGCCTGGGTGGCTCAGTGGGTTAAGCCTCTACCTTCGGCTCAGGTCATGATCTCAGGGTCCTGGGATCGAGCCCCGCATCGGGCTCTCTGCTCAGCAGGGAGCCTGCTTCCTCCCCTCTCTCTCTGCCTGCTTCTCTGCCTACTTGTGATCTTTCTCTCTGTCAAATAAATAAATAAAATCTTTAAAAAAAAAAAAAAAGGAATGAACTACTGATACATGTAACAAGATGGATGAATCTCAAAGTAATTATGCTGTGTGATCTACACCAGACAAAACAAGAGCACATATTATAGGACTAATTCTGTTTATGTACAATTTTAGGAAATGTAAGCTAATCTAGAGGGACAGAAAACAGATTCATAGTTACCTGGTGAGTGAAGTAAAGAAGGTAGGAAAAAGAGAGGGGGATGGATTACAAAAGGTATGAGTATACTTTGAGGATGACAGATATATGTTCATCATCTGGACTGAGGTGATGGTTTTGTGGGTGTTTATATGCCAAACTCACCAAATTAGATATATTAAGTATGTAAAAATTATTGTATGTCAATTATACCTCAATAAAAGTAATTTAAGATGTTTAAAGAGAAAGAAAACATACATTCAAAAAAATTTATAGGAATGTTCATAGCAGCTTTATCAGTAATAGCCCTAAACTACAAACAGCTTAGGCATCTACTGATAAGGAAATGAAAAAACAAACTATGGTATTTTCATACAATGACATAGCACTCTGATATATTTTTAAAAAAAAACACGGACACATACAACATGAAGTATTCTCAAAACCTTTTGCTGAATGAAAGAAGTCTTACAGGTAAGTTCATATTGTATGACTCCATTTATATGAAGTTCTAAAACAGACAAAAATATGGTAGAAAAAAAAGACAGTAGTCTGCCTTAAAATGGAGAAAGAAGGACAGACTGGGAAGGGACATGTATAAGCTTTCTGGAGCGAGAATAATACTCTATACCTTGATAGGGGTTTGGGTGATATATTTGTATGAATTTATCAAAACAATAAATACATATATATATGTGTGTTTACTAATAAAATACATACATGTTAATCTATATAAATACACACAAATTTTTGTATGTATTCAAAATTTCATTCTTATTAGGAATTAAGCCATCTAGGACTGGTGGGACAAGAGATCTAGAATCCAGTCCCTGCTCAGCCATTAACTCATCGAATGACTTTAAGCAAATTATTTTCTCTGGGCCTCAATTTGTTCCTCTGTAAAAGGAGATACCTACTCTCCTAATTCTTGTTCAAAACCAAAATTTTAAAACAATATGACAACAATGCTAACGTTACAGTCCAAGAACTAAAAATAATAGATTTAAGTTTGAAAGATTTTTAAATTGAACAATTCTATAAATGTACTATAAAAACAAAGTACATTTTTAAATCATGAACATTTTGTCCACAAATTAAATAAAAATTTTTATATAAATGTTTAAATAAATTATATATTTTTATATACAATTTTGCATAAAATTCTCACATACATCAGAAACCATATAAATTACTCACGATTTAATATCTTCTAGAACATTTTTTGACTGTGCTGATCCCAGAAAACAAGCTGGAATGTTGGACATTCTATAATAAGAAAAACAAGTATTCTTGGAGCCATGTACATACTACATAGATCAACTTCATTCTTAAGGACTAAGGAAATACAATGAACAGTCCTCTTCTTTACAATCCTCACTCTTTTTGTAACTCACTAATTTGATAAACAAATTCCTCCAAAGGCAGTATTAGAAAGCAGGTTGTTGGGGCACCTGGGTGGCTCACTTGGTTAAGCATCTGCCTTTGGCTCAGGTCATGATCCCAGGTTCCTGGGATCGAGCCCCACTTCGGGCTCCCTGCTCAGTGGGGAGCCTGCTTCTCCCTCTCCCTCTGCTCCTCCCCCTGCTTATGCTCTCTCTCTCTCTCTCTCTCTCTCTGTCAAATAAATAAAATCTTTAAAAAAAAAAAAAAGGAAAAAGAAAGCAGGTTGTCAGGGCAGGTTTTTCAGAAAAATTGCAAGCTCACATTAAAGAGGTTTAAAATTTTTCTGTAACTAAAAATTATACTTCCATGTATATACTTCATACCAAGCTAAAGAGCAAGGGTAACCAAAAGAGAAAAGAATTTTGAGATATGGATGTAAACTGGCTTAGAGTTTGCGGTTACAAAAATTTTTATTGAGACCATCTGGTAGCCTTGGATTATAAAGAACTCAAGTAAAAAGATAAGTTCTTCCACCAAAGAGTCATTTATCACTAAAAAAGACAGAGCAACATTCACAGAAATGTGTTACTGGGAACTAGATTTTAACATACACGATAGGTCACATGTTTCCCTCATGAAAGAAAAAAAGGGTGATAATGTAGCAATGAAAACATTACTAGGGCACCTGGCTGGCTGAGTGGATAGAGGCTGCAACTCTTCATCTTGGGGTTGTAAGCTCAAGCCCCACATTGGGTGAGCGATGACGTAAAAATGGAAGGAAGGAAGGGAGGGAGGGAGGAAGAAAACATTACTTACTTAAGCTGGAGGACTTGGTCTTCCATCAAAGAAATAAGAGGAGAGATGACAAGGCCAATCCTGCCTGAATATACAGCGGGGTACTGGAAGCACAAACTCTTTCCATATCCTGGAAATAAAAATAATGCACTGATAGATATAAAAATAAAGCCTTGGTACTTTGATTTCTTCCTACAATGTACTTGTGTGAGATGAACGGTCCTTACTAACATGCTATCCTCTTAAGAGCTAATTTCTGCATAAATTTGAGCATCTAATCTCAGATCACTCTCTTCTGTACTTTATACCATTTGCATTTGTATTTATATTTTGAGAGTGTAATAAAAGATCACACATTTAAAAACCTTTAAGTTTTATATTTTAGAGGACTAAGTTATTATTGCTTATGTACAACTTACCAGTTGCCATCACAACAACATTATCTCTCCTTTCTTCCAAAACAGAACGAATCACCTTCCACTGAACCCTGGAGGGTAAAAAGCAAAAAAGCTATTTTGTTTTACTAACAAGAAACCCAAGGACAAGTGGAAAATGTTTAATTTTTTCACTACCTCTAACAGAATTTCTTTTTCTTTTTTTTTAAGACTTTATTTATTTATTTGACAGATAGAGATCACAGTAGGCAGAGAGGCAGGCAGAGAGAGAGAGAGAGGAGGAAGCAGGCTCCCTGCCGAGCAGAGAGCCCGATGCGGGGCTCGATCCCAGAACCCCGAGACCATGACCTAGAGCCGAAGGCAGAGGCCCAACCCACTGAGCCACCCAGGTGCCCCAGAATTTCTTTTTCTTAAAGACTGTATGTATTTATTTTACTTTTTTTAAAGATTTTTTATTTATTTACTTGACAGACAGAGATCACAAGTAGGCAGAGAGGCAGGCAGAGAGAAAGGGGGAAGCAGGCTCCCCGCTGAGCAGAGAGCCCGATGCGGGGCTCGATCCCAGGACCCTGGGACCACGACCCGAGCTGAAGAGAGAGGCTTCAACCCACTGAGCCACCCAGGCGCCCCTATATATTTTATTTTAGATTGTATTTATTTGGTTTATTTTAGAGAGAGCATACACATGTGCAAGTAGAGAGAGAGGGAAAGAATCTCAAGCACACTCCATGCTGAGCACGGCCATCAGGGGGCTCGAGCTCACCACTTGAGGAGATCACAACTGGAGCAAAAACCAAGAGTCATAAGCTTAACAGAAAGTCCCACCCAGGCACCCTTCTTTTTTTTTTTTTTTTTTTTTAAGATTTTATTTATTTGACAGAGAGAGAGAGAGACATCACAAGTAGGCAGAGAGGCAGGCAGAGAAAGAGGGGGGAGGAAGCAGGCTTCCCGCAGAGCAGAGAGCCCGACGCGGGGCTCGATCCCAGGACCCCGGGACCACGACCTGAGCCGAAGGCAGAGGCTTTAACCCACTGAGCCACCCAGGCACCCCCCCAGGCACCCTTCTAATAGAATTTCTTTTACGTTTTTGAGCTTCAATATATAGACATAAATTTATTAATTAAAATAAAAGAGGGACAACTGGGTGGCTCAGTCAGTTAAGCATCTAACTCTTGATTTTGACTCTGGTCATGATTTCAGGGTTGTGAAATGGAGCCCCATATTGGGCTCTATGCTGGGCATGGAACCTGTTTAACATTCTCTCTCTCCCTCTCCCTCTGCCCCTCCGGGCACTTGCATGCGCAAGAAAGTGCACGCACCCTCTCTCTCTTGCATGTGTGTGCACATGCTTTCTCTCTCTAATTAATTAATTAATTAAAGAAATGCTCCAGAGGCCAGGATTGCCTGAGAAGGGACATGAGGGAACTTTCTGGAGTTACTGTAATGTTCCATATTTGACTAAAGGGTTAGGCTACATGGGTACATGCATGTCCTTTAATATGTGCAAATGCACATTTAAGGTTTGACCATTTTCTTGCATGTAAATTTTACATCAAAAGAATAAACCATAAATATTTAACTATAGTTAATGATTTATACACTGAAGTACTTAGGGAGATAAATAATGATGTCCAGTCTACCCTAAGATGCGTTTTTTAAATTAGGTAGATTAAGGAATGGATAGAGAAGTGATAGATGGATATTATGATAAAGCAAGTATACTAAAATGTTGAATATACAGGTATTCATAGTAAAAAAAAATCTTTCAGCTTTCCTGTACCTTTGAAAATTTTTTTAATAAAATGTTGAGGGAAAAATCAATAGGAAAGGTGATCTTCTGATGTGCTGATAATGACCTATTTTTTCCTTATGTGAGTCCTGGTTACACAGGGCGCTTGTAAAAATTCATTGATCTGTACATTTATGTGCACTTTTCTGTATGTAGAACATAGTTCAATTAAAAAAAAATTTATGATCAAAGAAGAAGAAAGAAATGTTTCCATGGGTTAAATTTTAAATTTGCAGAATAGGAAAAAATGCAGTCTAGGTTTTTACATTCTTATTAGTTTTATTCAAAATTACTTGTTCCTCACCTCATTTTTATTCACCTTATTTTAATACTTATAAATGTGCCCCTTTAGACATAAATACATTTGAATATATTAAAACTGATAAGATTATCACTATTCTTCAAACTGTTATCTCATGAATTTCTATTATATCAGCATGCTTTGGACAGAAAGTTGTATGAAATAGACAACACAGATACTTAATGAAAAACAAGTCAACATTAAATTAAGATTAATTTATTAATGTGTTTAAACTAGTATCTATACAGAACTCTCTATGGTAAAGAAAATCACTTTCCTCTCATAAATACAATTTGTAGATACAAATTTTAAGTAAGTATTATTTTAAAATAACTTTGTAGTTATTTTAGTCACTTACAGGAAATGCAGTGTAGAATGTATAAACTACAGTGAAGTTTTGCTATTACTATTAAACAGATGGATTATTTGCCATTTTTCCTTTGTGAAGAAAATTGTAAATATGCAATTTAATTAACTGAGATTATACTCACGGCTTAAAACTGGAATGGCCAAAATAGATCTTGAGGAAATTAATTTGGCTTGCATTAGGTCCTGGTAATGAATGGTCTTAAAATAAAATGAAATAGTCATTTATGTTATAATACAAGTGATAGGGAATGAAAGTTTTATTTCATCAACTTCTTTTAAAGAATACAGTGGTAAGTACCAGACATCACTGTTTCCTGTCTTTTAAATCCAACTAATTCAGTCCTCTGGATACCAGTCATGATTTTAGTTACTTTGATTATCACCTAATAACAGATTAGAACTTTGTGCTTCTACTACAAAATGGTTCACACTTTGTCAACACTGTAAGAGAACAATGTTTTAGAATTTGCTAGTCTGCTATAGCGCTAAAACCTAACGTTTAAACCCAACTATGGCAAGCGACATACCAATGCAAATTTCACAATACAACCAACTTTAAATTAATAGTAATCAGAAATTACATTACTATCACAAAGAAATCCACAGATAAAATTAAATCTTCATTTTAGTTAGCTATCCACCAAATCCTTGACCACAATTCTAAAGGCATAGAACAATGGAGTTACATTGATTTTATTCAACTAATTTTTATTTTCTATGCAGGTTGAACAGTTCATGAGTGGCCAAGGCAGAGCAAAGCAAAGAATCAAGACCACTCATCTATAAACAAATGAAAATTCATTATTAGATTTCTTAGCTTTTAACAATTCTAAATAGAGAACTAAATTGATTTGGAGATGTTATGCCTTCATTTCTTTCATTTCTTCATTAATACAAGAAAACAAAGAGAGTAACATTTTCTTTAACATTTTTATGTACTTTCCACCTACAATATGTATTTTAATTTTCCCACACTGTAACACTGATGAATATAGCTCTTGAGGAGTGTTCTACTTTATGAGAAGACCCCGTGGTTTGCCATAACAAATACTGTCACTTACACTTAAATAATAAGAGAGGTTCATTTCATGGATTCCTAACTATAGTTGGCATACACAGTAGGAAAATCAGTCCATTTTGCTGCCTGACATTGTGCCACTTGTTTGAAGGAATAAGTTCCTAAAGAACAAACACCATGTATCTATGCCGTTAACAATAATGTTTACTTTAAGTCATTAATGATTCTTAACAATGATTTTCTATTATTTTGACAAAACACAAAATTCAGGATGAAAAGTTTCACGTCACCAAATGCACCAAACACCACAATGCTTCTATCCCTCTACTTTCATAAATGGTAAGATTGTTGCTTTATAAAGACCAAACACCAAAGCAGCTTATGACAAGGTTTTAGGACCTCATTAATTACACACCATAAAATCCTTGCCTCCAAAATGTTTAAAAACTGGATGCTAAATTAGAGTCAGCAGTAGGTAGGAGAGGTGAGTCATTTCAAACATGTTCCAGCGCTTACCTGCACCCTCCTCTTCTTCTTCAATAGCTTCAATCTCATCTTCGTCATCTTCAAAATGAACATCCGGATTTCTTTCCATGTCTCTGCATTTTGAATGAACTGGATCTGCCGTGCCAGTATTTAGGTTTTCTAAAGACTGAAAGTTTAAAAGCAATCTTAAAAGCAAAACCATTGACAGTGTTGCATCTTTTTCACCCAACACAAAAGAAGTATTATTAACAGAACCTACAATTTTGTTCAAAGCTGGCAGATGTGCAACCAATACCACAAAAGAACATGTGTGCTCTAGTTTAAATATGTGTTCAAGAATGGTTTCTAAGGCATAAGGCCAAAGATGGAATACTTCCAGCATAAACAGGGTTCGTTAATAGCATATCATAAACTGCCTGTGGGGCAAGTTATCAAAATTTTGAATAAAATTTGAATTTTTTTCCTTTATCATACTTCAGTGTTTTCAATTGCCAAGAGGTAAATGTGAGTTTTACTGATATTTTTGTAATGAGTTTCTCCTATCATGTGTCAGCATAAGATTTAAACAGTAAGCAAACAATAAATGTTTCTGTGAATTATGTGAATATGCTTATGTGAATTATGAAAACAATAAAAGATGCAAATTTTAAGAATGGAATATTACAAATGTGAACAAAGTTGCTCTTTATTTTGGCTTGACAATATTGGATTTTCTCCCCTAAATGAAGATTATCCGTTTAAAGAACATTAGGATATTTCAAAATTATTTCGTCTGCACAGTTTTTTACTGAAAAGAGACCACATTTTAAATGTGGTCTCATATTAAACCACAGTTCTCATTTTCTCTTTTTATTAAACCTTCCATTTAATAAACTTGACTTTCATGGTTTTCTAAAAAGTGTATTCATTTCAGGCCTGGAAAAGAAAAAGAGTGATTCTGTTTCTGATTTTTTATTCAAGTCAACAAATATACTTAGAAAAGCATTTTGAAAATAAAGTTCTCTCATATGGGTATCCAGATTGCCTTCTAAGAGGTTCAGTATACAATTTAAGTTTGTGGAAGTCTGCAAGTGTCCTGTACATGTGCTACTTGAACAGCACTCCTCAGAGAAATGGCTAATCAATTATGGAATATGATTTAGTATTTATGTCCTATTATTACTACTAGCTAATATTTATTAAACACTTAAGAAATGCCAGGCTCTGAACAAGCTCTTCACAAATAACACCTTAAATAATAACAGCTATTAACTGAGTATCAAAAAGACTAATAAGAAACTTGCCCAAAGTCACAGAGCAAATAAATGGAGAAGCTGGGATTTAAACCCACATCTAAATTCAGACTCATATTCCTAATCACTACTTAGTGACTCCTAATCACTATATTCCTAATCATATTAGGACTATGATTCCTAATCACTACTTACTACTCCAGTTTATAACGAAGAATAAGGAACCTAATCTCATTTTGTTAAAAAAAGAACAAAAATTTCACATCAATCTAAAGATAAGGAATAAAAAGCATGAATAACAATGAACTTCTGTGTTTTTCTTCATTTTCAATTAATCTGAAATTTAAGATTTTCTTATTGTCCATCTCTGGTTCATCCCTGGTTCAATCCTGACAAAGAAACTGGAGGTTGGGGGTAGTGGTAGAAAATTTGTAATTACAAAATAATATTTTCAACTTTGATAATAAATTAGTGGAAAATGAAATAATTTAAAACATTAGAAAATGATATATAATATATCCATAGTAACTAAAGCCAAAAGAAGTAAAGAAGAATATTGAATGTATACCAACAAAACTCCCAAATAAAAGGGGATACACATGGATGGGAAGAGAAAGAAACCTATTTCAACAGAGGAGGGCAAAATCACTACCAACATTCTAGGAAGAGATTAAAAGAAGTGACCTGACAAGAATATGTTTTATAATATGTAAGAGTTAGTATACTGCTACTAAAACATTATTCATAGGCCATATAAAGATGTAAACAAATATGAAACGGAAAATAAAATCTAATGGTTATATAAATGATAGTAATCTCATTGTGGGGGGACATTTAGAACTAGGTAATATTTTACATAATTGTCCTTTTTGAAAGAACTAGAAGTAAATTTTCATAATTTCAAACATACCTTAATCATCTCCATTTCTAAATCTTCATCACTTTCAATTACATAAGATAGATCCTCTTCTTTATCCTTAGAAGATAAATGTTTTAAAAAATATTTTGAACATTAATTTTCCAATATAATTGACCTCATACCCTGTTTTCTACAAAATAAAGTTCCTATACACTAGATATCTGTAGACAACTTCCTCTTCTTGCCTAATAGATAAATTTATAATACCTATTTACGTGGTTATATGAGGCATAGATAGGAAGAAAGGGTAGTAAGGAAGAAGAAAAAGAAGGAGAATAAACAGAAACAAAGAATCAAAGAAAAAGAGAAAGAAAGAAATGTAATTGGAAAGATAGACAAGAGAGACAGACTTGATATAAAGCCCACAATCTAAGACAGAGTACAAGTGATAAGTTCAACAATAGTTAAACAATATCAAACTGTGTGTCCCAACTTGAGTACAAGAACCTCTTTACTGTGTTGAAAATTTCTATCCTATTTTAAGAGAGTTGGTTCTTTTATATCCACTAACTTTAAAAAGATCACAAAAAGCTCCTATGACTGTAACAATACCTTTAAATAAATCATTATTTTACAAAGGGCTTCTACAAGTACTTGAAAAATAGTGTCAGATAAGTTATTTATACAGCGGTTGTCAATGTTGGGATATGAGAAAACTTTATACTAATTTGGGAATCCCCAGGAAGCAAGTGTCCAACAGCATGGGACCCCTGAATAAAAGAAATGTAGAAGGACCCCAAAAGTCTAATATTTAAGTTGAAAGTAGGAAAAGGAAGCATAGTCATAATTAATCTGCAAAAACCAGTCTTAAAAAAGGATTTTATTTTTATTTATTTATTTATTTATTTGAGGGGCTGGGAAGGGCAGAGGGAGAAAGAATCTTAAGCAGGCTCCTTGCCCCAATGAGGGGCCTGATCTCACAACACGGAGATCATGACCTGAGCCGAAATCAAGAATCAGACACTTAACAGACTGAGCAACCCAGGTGCCCCTTAAAAAACGATGTTAAGGGGAGCCTTGGTGGCTCAGTGGGTTAAAGCCTCTGCCTTCAGCTTAGGTCATGATCCCAGGGTCCTGGGATCAAGCCCCGGTTTCGGGTTCTGTGCTCAGCAGGGAGCCTGCTTCCCTTCCTCTCTCCCTACTTGTGATCTCTGTCAAATAAATAAATAAAATCTTTAAACAAATAAAAAAGGATGTTAAAATAAGCTTTATAAAAAGAGAAAAAAATTCTTTTACTTTTAAAATAGGATCTTTAATAAGTAAAGAAAAAAACTGCTAATTATCACACAATAAAAATGGCAAGAATTGGGATAAAAGATGACAGATCATGAAATCCTGATCATATTCTATATTATGATACGAAAAATACTGTCTTAAAATGTATACCTAATAAGAAATTTTCAAAAAGCTAAAGCGTGATGCAGACATTAGCAAATGATATTTCCTAAAAGGGGAATCTGTTTTAAAAGTGGTTGGTATGAGAATAGTCTGAAAATCATTTTTTTAAAAAATGCATTTATATATTGGTAGACATGATTTCTAATATAGTTACCAAACAGAGAATTTCTCAACTACTGAGACTTTTGACTGACATTAGAAAACTGAAGAGGGAAATAGCCCTATTAAATGACTTTCAAATTTAATTTTAAAAACTATAAACTTAGTTATTACAAAATAAAACGTATAAAATTCTACCAAATACAGGCATCATAGGTAACTTCCTAAACTAATGAAAAACAAGTGAGATAAAAAAATACAACTACATGATGTCTCATTTTATGATTTGTCTTTACAATAAAAAAAACATACACATTTCTTCTCTAATATAACTTCAGTATTTCAAAAAACATCCTTAACTTAGCCAGGAGAAAAACAACCTCACAAATTAAACTACTCAGAACATATTAGAAATCTAAACATGAAGTTGACAGATAATATAAAATGTTTCACAACAATCTATTAAGAAAAAAACGTAGGTCACTGACTCTCCAGATAACAGTAAAGGTTAGTGTCGAGTAAAAACACTAGTTTATTAGAAACCCTCTCACAGTAAGTAAGCAAAGAAAATCTTGTATAGGGAAAGATAACTACTCCCAAAAATCAAGTTTGGAAGAGTTAACACTAGTAGGAATATGGGAAATCCAAAAAAGCCAAGGTATCTATTACATAAAAATAAGGAGAAATACTAAAATACAACAAATGTGTACCGGCATTTTAAATCCTTCCATTACAAGACCATTAAGTTGTGCTTATTATACTAAGTCAAAAACAGCAAACTATAACTCACAAGCCAAATTCAGCCCAATTTTTGTTTTTGTTAATAAAGTTTCATCAAGGGGAACCTGGGTGGCTCAGTGGGTTAAAGCCTCTGCCTTCAGCTCATTCATGATCTCAGGGTCCTGGGATCGAGCCCCACATCAGGCTCTCTGCTCAGCAGGGAGCCTGCTTCCTCCTCTCTCTGCCTGCCTCTCTGCCTACATGTGATCTCTGTCAACTAAATAAATAAAATCTTTAAAAAAATAAAGTTTCATCAAAATACAAACAAGCTCATTTGTTTGCACTTGTCTATAGTTGCTTTCACACTAAATTTTTAGAAAGAATTGAACAGTAACACCAGAAAACATGTAATTGATCTGCATAGTCTAAATGTTTACTATCTGCCCTTTCACAGAAAAAAATCAGCCAACCCCTACTAATGAATAAAAATTGTTTTCTATTTTTTTAGTACCTCAGGAGATTTGCAAGTCACATCATTATGAAATTTTTCCTGAGCCTGCTGTTCCAAAATTTGGAGGTCACGTTCTGTAATATCTAATGACGTCAAACAAATTCTTTCTGTGTTCTCTTTCAACTTATTGCCTTCTTCTAATCCAGCTTCAAGCCCATCTTCTTGTTTCAGTTCATTTCGAAGTACATTTCCTTCATCATGTATAATTAAATTATCAAGTGTTGTGTCCCATAGATCATCTTCAACTTCAGGAAAAATTTTCTGTTTTCTAATTTGTTTCTGTTGTACTCTGTCAGCAGCTGGATCTTCCAATGGTAATAACTGAACAGTCTTGGCAGAACCAAGTATCATCTTCCTCAATGAATACAGATTTTCTGAAATATCACGTAATAATATAGAAATCCTAAAAAAATTAAGAAAGGGTAATTCAACTTTAACTTCAATAACTACCAGCACAGTTGTAATGCTTTTTTGTAAGTACAAGCTTTCTAAATTGACCTTCATTTAAAGGACACACTGGACTGCAGTTATTCTTCATTCCCTAATAACCAAAATATGCTTACAGCTGTTGGCTACTCCCTAGTACAGCAAGGTACTTCTGCATTCAACTTATATACTTACTAAGCATATATGCTTATAAGCTTGTTGACTTGTATGCTTCCTAATTGTCAGTAGTGTTTGGTCCCAAACTAATTCTTTATACCAGATATACTCTTTATGGTAATTAATTTAATTAAATATGTCAAATCAATGACACATGACCACATGAGCCACCCAGGCGCCCCAGCAATTTCCTTTTTTAAAAAAAGTTCTGGGGGTACCTAGATGGCTCAGTGGTTTAAGCCTCTGCCTTCGGCTCGGGTCATGATCTCAGGGTCCTGGGATCAAGCCCTGCATCGGGCTCTCTGCTCGGCGGGGAGCCTGCTTCCCCCTCTCTCTGCCTGCTTCTCTGCCTACTTGTGATCTCTCTCTCTCTGTGAAATAAATAAATAAAATCTTTAAAAAAAAAAAAGTTCTGTCTGATTAACTATAGTCAAAACAACTATAAGAGGAGAAAAAAATCTTAAACACTCCTAATACTATGCCATCAGATTCTTTCAAGTGTCTTGTTTCCACTCCATTTTAAAGAACCTAAAACTAGAAATTGCAGATGATACATAATGAGTGTGCTTTAAACAAGAACCACTCTGCAGAATTCCAAAGAGTAATCCTATAATTAATGAAGAAACCATGATGAATATCAAAACATTGGGAAACAAATATATATCAAGTTAGAAGAAAATTTTTATGATCCCACGTTTTAACTAAATGACTCAATTTGCCAATCAATTACTAGTTCCAACTGTAACATATAAGGGTGTTTATGTTATAATTTGAAAATGATGCTGTTGTGCATGTTCAATAATCACAAAACCCAACACATATTCTTTGGAACAGAAAATAAAATGAACAAAAAACTTCCCATCAGTAAAAACTGTAAAAGGTAAGAAAATATGGAAAAGTTGTATATCGATAAATACAAATTTCTTAACTCCTTAGTTATAGTTGCTAATATAACATTTTAACTAAGTGACTTTATTTTTTTTTAAGATTTATTTATTTATTTGAGAAAGAGAGCATGAGCAAGAGAGACAAGCAGGAGCAGGGGGAAGGGCAAAGGAAGAGGGAGAAGCAGACTCCCAGCTGAGCAGGGAGCCTGATGCAGGGTTGGATCCCAGGACCTTAAATCATAACCTGAGCCAAAAGCAGATGCTTATCTGACTGAGCTACCCAGGCACCCCTAACTAAGTGACTTTAAACAGCTATTTATAACAAACCTGGTTAACTGCAAAGGAAAACACTGCTAGAGTGTAAAATAAGGCATACTATCTGCAGGTTATAGGGTTTATTAAAGCAATTTTTAATTACTTCATAAAAGTATAAGTTCGAGGGAGAAGAGGGAATAAAAGAGACATTTTTCCTATTTAATTAACACTTTTGATTAGCTTTTCTAATTCTTCTGTATTGAAAACAATACTTAATAAAATCCAATATGACTTTTAAAGTTTTATATCGACGATTCAAATAAAAATTTGATCATTTATGGGAATAGACTATCAAAAATGTTGAGTTGTTTCATGATTTTTTCCATGCTAAAAATAGCACCAAAGTTGGGCTCAAGTGACAAGTCTACATCAATATAAATTAAATTCAAAATCTAAAAACTCACTAATTCTAACATTCTAAAATTTTCAAATCTTATAAAGAATAGTCAGTATTATATACAGTTATTCAAATATAAGAACTTACATAAATACTTTAGTAGGAATAGATATGTGACACTATTTAATCGTTACATGCATGGGAATGTTGTAATACATAAACATAGCGACAGTGACATACAGATTGATAAAGACTGTAAGGGCTTATTTATTCTGTGCTAACATCAGAGAATGGCTTGTCCCATATAAGATTACTATTTACTCCAACAAATATCAAACGATGTCTTCAGTAAGACATAATATACATTTCCTTCTTTCCTAGGATTGTTATTATGCATATTAGTAGCCTACAGAAAGCCTCAACATGCAACAGAATGTTAAGTACATGACAGCAATACAACAGATGTGTAATGAATTTAAATCAGTGAGTAAGTAGTACTGTACAATCCAATAGCTTCCAGGGCCACTGAAGCATAAAGCTGTTCCCTTCTGTAACAAAACTCAAACTATTTTAAAGTTCTCAGTTTGTCTACTCCTTCACCGATTGCCAGCTGTAACTTCCAGCTATGGTCATGTGCATAATATTCCTTATCAATACCTTGTTTTCATTTTAACTGGATAGCTAAGCTTGTCAAACTGTATCTATAAATGAGAAGAAAATAAGCTCTGAATGTGCCCTCATGCACTCCACTGGAAATACAGTTAAATATGAGTTTGAATTCATGATTATGACATGTATTTTTTTTTAAAGATTTTTTTTATTTATTTATTTGACAGAGAGAGAATCACAAGTAGGCAGAGAGGCAGGCAGAGAGAGAGGAAGGGAAGCAGGCTCCCCGCCGAGCAGAGAGCCCGATGCGGGACTCGATCCCAGGACCCCGAGATCATGACCCGAGCCGAAGGCAGCGGCTCAACCCACTGAGCCACCCAGGCGCCCATGACATGTATTTTAGCATGCAGAGGTCTTTTTTGTTCCTCTCTGGTTCTGAGGTGTAATTTGGTAAGTTAGGCATTACTGTAGACTTCTTACAAAGAACCTGAAATAAGAAATTTAACTAGTTCTTAATTGACACAAACTTGACAAGATCTTTCTTCACTAAAATGAATCCAGTATTTCCCATTCTCAAGTTTTAAGAAAACCTATTTTAGCTTTGTTATTACAAAGCAAAGCATTAAGCAGATATAACTTACATTCAATAGATAGTTTAAGTGCTAGAAGAAATTCTGAAATACATGTAAACATCACGTAAACAGTGATTATTTTTCTTTCATAGAGGAAAAATGTGAAATTGAATACAAAATGGCTTAATTGTTACCCATCCCCATTTGACAGTTATGTCTTTCAGAATTCTCAGTTACATTAAAACTACTAAAACAAAGTGCTAGGACGAAAAGGGACTTTGAAAAAGAGCTAAATCTCTGTATCATATTTTGAAATATCAGAATCAAAATTTATCACAAATCTCATCTAAAAAAATAACACTAACATTGCATTTTGTCAGAATCAGAATTCTATTTCAACTAACCGCTGGACATTCTACAAAGTATTTTTGCCTCAATATATAACTACATTGTAATCATTCACTGTTCAAGAGCATTCCTGGTATTGGAAGAAGTCATTCAGCAATTACGGCTAGGGAAAGTCCTGGTTCCAGAAAGAGTTAGCTACGTGGAACTGATAATCCAATGTCTATTAATCCAAATATCTCAAATTATGTAGGGCTTTAGACATAAAATGGCATTTAAAATCTGAATTCCCCTTGTTCTAACAGCCTAGTGATTATATAAAATTCCTATTTAATAATCCGATAAAAACATGAAAAAGGAAGCTATTCAATATAAAAATTATTTGTATGTATATATTTTAGGTGACCAAACTATGAATATAATTAAATGAGAGATGCCTGTAAACAAAAGAAAAAGACAACTTTGAATCTAAAGTACTTTCCTTTCTGTGGACATCTGAATTTTATTTTGCCTTGTTTCATGAAACATCCTACAAAGCAGATAGAAAAGCCTTAAACTTCTTGATGGGCAATTTAACACACTGGAAAGATATTTCTCAAATTTATAGATCAGGCTGTGGGCATGTGTTGAAGCAAATTTCTATCTGTCAACGCACATGAGGCTGACAGCAGACTTGTCCACACAGACCTGGCAGGCCAGAAAGGACTGGCATAACATATTCTACATGCTAAATGGGAAGAATATACAGCCAAGAATACTTCATCCAGCAAGGCTGTCATTCAGAATAGAAGGAGAGATAAAGAGTTTCCAGGACAAACAAAAACTAAAGGAATTTGTGAACACTAAACCAGCCTTGCAAGAAAAATTAAAGGGGATCCTTTGAACAGAGAGAGAGCCCAAAAGTAACAAAGACCGAAAGGTACAGAGACAATATATAGGAACAACAACTTTACAGGTAATACAATGGCACTAAATTTATATCTTTTGAGGCACCTGGGTGGCTCAGTCGGTTAAGCAGCTGCCATAGGTTCAGGTCATAATCCCAGGGTCCTGGGATAGAGCCCCACATCAAGCTCCCTGCTCAGTGGAGAGCCTGTTTCTCCCTCTCCCTCTGCCTTCCACTCTCTACTTGTGCTCTATCTCTCTATCAAATAAATAAATAAAATCTTCTTTTAAAAAATTAATTAACTAAATAAATTTATATCTTTTGATAATTATTCTGAATGTAAATGGACTAAATGCTCCTATCAAAAGATATGGGGTATCAGAATGGATTAAAAAAATAAAGTTCCATCAATATGCTGCCTATAAGAAACTCATTTTAGACCCCAAAACACCACTAGATTGAAAATGAGGGGGCCCGGAAAAAAAAAAGGAAATAAGGGGGTGGAGAACCATTTATCATGCTAATGGAAATCAAAAGAAAGCTGGAAGGCCATTCTTATATCACAAAAACTAGATTTTGAACTAAAGACTGTAATAAGAGATGAAGAAGGGCACGACACCATAATAAAGGGGTCCATTCAACAAGAAGATCTAATAACTGTAAATATTTATGCCCCTAACTTGGGAGCATCCAATTATATAAACCAATTAACAAAATTAAAGAAATTCATTGATAATTATACAATAATAGTAGGGAACATTAATAATCTACTCACAGCAAAGGACAAATCATCAAAGCAAAAGATCAACAAGGAAACAAGAGCTTTGAATGACACACTGGATGAGATGGACTTAACAGATATATATAGTGCATTTCATCCTAAAGCACCAGAACACACATTCTTTTCCACTGTACATTGAACATTCTCCAGAAGAGATCACATCCTGGGTCACAAATCAGATTTCAACCAGTACAAAAACAATGAGATCGTATCATGCATATTTTTAGACCACAAGCTATGAAACTTGAAGTCAGCTACAAAAAGACATCTGGAAGGACCACAAATACATGAAGGTTAAAAAACATCCTACTAAAGAATGAATGGGTCAACCAGCAAATTAAAGAATTTTAAAAATACATGGAAGCAAATGAAAATGAAAACACAACAGTTCAAAACCTTTAGGATGCAGGAAAGGCAGCCCTAAGAGGGAAAAATATAGCAATATAGACCTTTTTCAAGAAACAAAGTCTCAAATACACAACCTAACCTTACACCTAAAGCCTAAATCCAGCAGGAGAACAGAAATAATAAAGATCAGAGCAGAAATCAATGATAGAGAAATCAAAAACATTGTAGACCACATGAACAAAACTAGGAGCTGGTTCTTTAAAAGAATTAATAATATTGATAAACCCCTAACCAGACTTATCAAATATAAAAGAGAAAGGACCCAAATTAAAATTATGAATGAAGGAGGAGAGCTCACAGCCAAAACCGAATAAATACAAACAATTATAAGAGAATATTATGAGCAATTATATGCCAACAAATTAGACAATGTGGAAGATATGGATAAATTTCTAGAAACTTATAAACTACTAAGACTGACACAGAAGAAATAGAAAACCTGAATAAACCTATAACCAGAAATAAAATTGAATCAGTAATCAAAAATCTCTAAACAAAGAGTCCAGGGCCAAATGTCTTCCCAAAGGAGATCTACCAAACATTTAAAGAAGAATTAATACCTATTTTTCTGAAACTGTTTAAAAAAAAAAGAGAAATGGACAAAAACTTCCAAACTCATTCCGTAAGGCCAATACTACCATGATCCCAAAACCAGACAAAGACCCCACTAGAAAGGAGATTTGCAGCCAATATCCATGATGAACAAAGATGCAAAAATTCTCACCAAGATATTAGCCAATAGGTCCAACAGTACATTAACAGGATTTAACCACAATCAAGTGGGATTTACTCCTGGGCTGCAAGGGTGGTTGAATATCTGCAAATCAATTGATGTGATACACCACATTGATGAAAGAAAGAACTAAATGATTCTCTCAATAGATGCAGAAAAAGCATCTGACAAAATACAACATCCTTTCTTGATTTAAAAACCTCCTCCATGTAGGGATAGAGGGGACATACCTCAATATCATGAAAGTCATATACAGAAAACCCACAGCACATATCATCCACAATGGGGGAAAAACAGAGCTTTTCCAATAAGATCAGGCACATGACAGGGATGTCTACTCTCACTACTGATATTTAACATAGTACTGCAAGTTCCAGCCTCAGCAATCAGACAACAAAAAGAAATAAAAGGGACCCAAATCAACAAAGAAGAAGTCAAACTTTCACTCTCTGCAGACAAAATGATACCCTATGTAGAAAACTCTAAAGACTCCACCCAAAAATTGCTAGAACTGATAGAGGAATTCAGCAAAGTCACAGGATATAAAATCAATCCATAGAACTCAGTTGCATTTCTACACACTAACAACGAGGCAGAAGAAAGATAAAGCAAGAAATCAATCCCACTTACAATTGCACCAAAAACCATAGGATACCTAGATACAAACCTAACCAAAGAGCTAAAAGATCTGTACTCTGAAAACTTTACAATGCTTGCGAAAGAAACTGAGGAAGACAAAAAGAAATGGAAAAACGTTCCAGCTCATGGATTAAAAGAACAAATATTGTTAAATGTCTACACCACCCAAAACAATCTACACATTAAATGCAATCCCTATCAAAAGACCATCAACATTTTTCAGAGCTGGAACAAACAATTCTAAATTTGTATGGAACCAGAAAAGACCCTGAACAGCCAGAGTAATGGAAAAGAAAACCAAGGCTGGAGACATCACAATTCTGGACTTCAAGCTCTATTACAAAGCTGTAATCATTAAGACAGTATGACAATGGCACAAAAACAGACATGTAGATCAACAGAACAGAATAGAGAATCCAGAAATGGACCCAAAACTATATGGTCAACTAATCTTCGACAAAACAGGAAAGAACATTCAATGGAAAAAAGATAGTCTCTTCAACAAATGGTGTTGGGAAAATTGCAGAAGAATAAAACTGGACCACTTTCTTATACCACACACAAAAATAAACTCAAAATGGATGAAAAACCTAAATGTGACACAGGAATCCATCAGAGGACATAGGACATAGAAATCCTAAAGGAGAATTCAGGCAACAACCTCTTCGACCTTGGCCACAGCAACTTCTTGCTAGACAGGTCTCCAAATGTAAGGGAAACAAAAGCAAATATGAACTATTAGGACTTCATCAGGATGAAAAGCTTTTGTGCAGCAAAGGAAACAGTCAAAACTAAAAGGCAATCTATGGAATGGGAGAAGATATTGACTTATCAGACAAAGGGCTAATATACAAAATATATAAAGAACTTATCAGTCCCAACATCCAAAAAAAAAAAAAAAAAATCCAGGCAAGAAATGGGCAGAAGACATGAACAGACATTTCTCCAAAGAAGACATACAAATGGCCAAGAGACACATGAAAAGATGTTCAACAGCACTCGGCATCAGGGAAATAGAAATCAAAACCACACTGAGATAGCATTTCACACCTGAGAGAATGGCTAAAACGAACAACTCAGGAGATGACAGATGTTGGCAAGGTTGTGGAGAAAGGGGAACCTTCTTATACTACTGGCAGAAATGCAAACTGGTGCAGCCACTCTGAAAACAATATGGAGATTCCTCAAAAAGTTAAAAATAGAAGTACCCTACGACCAAGCAGTTGCACTACTAGGTATTTATCCAAAGGATACAAACATAGTGATTCAAAGGGGCATCTGTACCCCTATATTTATAGCAGCAATGTCCACAATAAACCAAAATATGGAAAGAGCCCAAATGTCCACTTATTTATGAGTAGATAAAGATGTGGTATATATCCACACAGATATCTATGAATGGATAAAGATGTGGTACACACACACACACACACACACACACACACACACACACACACAGGAATATTACTCAGCCATCAAAAAGAATGAAATCTTCAGGAGCACCTGGGTGACTCAGTGGAGTAGGGGGTCTGTCTTCATCTCAGGTCCTGATCCTAGTGTACTGGGATCAAGTCCCAAGCTGGGTTCCCTGTTCTGCAGGAAAACTACTTCTCCCTCTCCCTCTGCCTGTCGTTCCCCCTGTTCATTCCTTCTCTCTCAAATAAAAAGTTTTTAAAATCTTTTTAAAAAAATGAATGAAATCTTGCCACTTACAACAACCTGGATGGAACTAGAGGGTATTATGCTAAGCAAAATAATTCAGTCAAAGAAAGACAAATACCAGGTGATTTTACCCGTCTATGGAATTTAAGAAACAAAACAGATGAACATAGTGGAAGGAAAGAAAAATAAAATAAGACAAAAACAGAGAGGGAAGCAAACCATAAGAGACTCTTAACTACAGAAAATAAACTGAGGGTTGCTGGAGGGGATATTAAGTGCGGGGATGGAGTAGTTTGGTGATGGGCATTAAGGAGGGAACATGATGTAATGAGCACTGAGTGTTATATGCAACTGATGAATCACTAAATTCTAACCCTGAAACTAATACTATAGTTTACATTAACTAGATGGAATTTAAATAAAAAATTTCTATGAGTCTACCTTAACAAACAGTAATTCTTTATAAATAGGAATGTGAAGTAAGAACAAACAGAATTGATAAAAACAGGTAATATTTAACCTCTGTGGATCTTCCACTTTTTTCCAAGTGTCAGGGAGATGCTTAGCCAGATCCATCATATTCTCAGAGATTGATGTCAGTTGTTTCTTCACATCACTAGGTAGCATTTCCTCCTCTGGACAAAAAGAATCAATGTTAATTTTCAAACCACAACGCAGAGAGATTTATTTAGTCATTTATTTAAACAGTGTTAGGGTTCCATTTTCATTTTCTTTCCTTAAGCAAATTCCAGCAAAAGGACTTCTTTATTCTACCTCCATGTCACCTCAGTCACTTTACTTCCCTTTCAGATTTTTGCTACTTGAATTTTAGAATAAATTCCAAATGATCTACATTCATACACATTACAACCAGCGGTTAGCAATCTAGACTGAAGAAGGCAGAAATGAGAATCTGAACCCAACTACACTATCTCAAAATCAGAACAGATTTCTGCAGAATCTTACTTATGAAACATAGTTAAGTAAACATAACCTGAGCCAACAGCCAAGCCTCACTTCCCTTCTCATCAATCATGACCAAAATAAAATGCAAACCTTTCTAATCAGCGATCATCTTCCAAACTCTCAATTTCATTCTGTCTGGCACATCCTTCTCCATCAACACCACGCCTGCCTGCCTTCCTCGAACCCTTCTCCTGCTTAGAGTTTCTTAGAGCTCATCACCATTTTCTCTTGTCCTCAAAAGTCCAGCTCCGCTGAAGCATGTGACATGTCCCATCTGCTATTCCTGATTGCTGCACACTTCGATCTCAAAATCACATTCTTTCATTCATTGAAGATTTCACTGCCTGGTTCACTGTTTTTCCCTTCACTGCTACTCCTATGATAATTCCACCTAAAATTGTGGCCTTTTCAGTGCTTTGATCCTTCCATTTCCAACAATCTTTTCCTCAACTGACCTCAGCCACCCATTCCTAGACATTTGACCTTATAATTGCCAATAAAGTCACTACTTCCAAACTTCAATGGTAAGCATTCCACCCGCCCTCGGAACACCAGCATGCTGGCTTGCCTTCCAGGATGCCCTCCCCAACACAACTATTCTTTCACACTTTCAGGATCGAATCCACTGATCCCAGCATCTTTTCCATACACCTTATTCTTCCCACTCCCACTCCCCACCATGTCTTTTTTTCCTTTCTTGCCCATATTATAATAATCATTCCCTTGTAGGACTCTGACCTCTTTTGTTCCTTCCTCCCTCCACGGTATTTTTTATCTAGGAAAACCCCTACTCTAATTAATCCCAGCTTTTTTACCTACTTGATGCCTATATTCACAGAGCTGACTATAACTGAAGATAAAACACAGCCAAGATGACTCAGCTTGCTTTAAATTCATGACACAGATCTCAAAGGAACCCTCGGTAGACTGTTAAATATTCTGTATTTCCCACTTTTCTACTATCAAGATGACTACTTCATACCTCTTTCTTTCTCTCCAAGCTTCTAACATCTGCTTGCTCCTCCTTTTACTCAAGGAACAACTTCACCCTTCATAACACTAAGAAAATAGAAAAAGAAAACTATCTCATCTTCCCACCCCCCCAATCTGCTAATTAGTCTGTACTCACAGAACTACTCTTATTTACAGCAAAATTCCATGAAAGAGTTGTCCACACCGCACAGTCTCAAATTTTCTACTCCCATTTTCCCCTAAGCCTTCGCCCCCACCAGCACGGCATGGCTGCTTTGGGAAAGGTTATCCCGTGACCTCCACGCTGTCAAATCTAATTATCAGGTCTAGTTCCTCATCTCCCTCAGATTCGCAGCTATTTGAAAGAGCTGATAATTCCTTCCTCCTTAAAACACGTTCTTCCTGTGGCTTCTGGACACAACACCTCTTGACACTCTGTCTTCTACCACCACCCCTTCTTGGACCTTCTCCACTGCACTTTCCTCCTCTTCCTGATCTCTAAATGTCGGTATGCCCTCAACATCAATACTTGGACCTCCTCTGTTCTTTATTCCAGTCACTGCCTCTTTCATCTCATCTCCTTTCACTGCTTTAACTGCCGTCTGTATCTTGATGTTTCCCAAAGTTACATCTCCAATCTCAACCTTTTCCCTGAACTCCAGAATCACATTTCCAACTGTGATATCTGCCTGGATATTAATAAGCACCTAAAATTTAGCATATCCAAAACTGAAATCTAGATTTTTCTCACCCAATCCCCCCTTTCCCATAACCTTTCCACCATAACTGATCCTTCCATTAACTCAGCTGATCCCACCAAAATATGTTTATTGTCCTCTCAGTCTCTGGATCTTACTCCTATGGAGAATTCATTGGCAAATCCTTCACAATTTATACCTTCAAAACATACACACATTCTACCCACTTCTTACCATCTCTACTGCTACCAGCCTAATCCAAACAATTGTCATCTCCTGCTGGGACTACTAGAGTAGCCTAATAGACTTCCCTGCCTAAACACTTGCTCTTTTATAGCAGCCAAAAAAAAAAAAAAAAAAAAAAAAATCCTTTTTTTTTTTTTTAAAGATTTTTTATTTATTTATTTGTCAGAAAGAGAGAGAGAGAGAGCGAGCACAGGCAGACAGAGTGGCAGGCAGAGGCAGAGGGAGAAGCAGGCTCCCCACAGAACAAGGAGCCCGATGTGGGACTCGATCCCAGGATGCTGGGATCATGACCGGAGCCGAAGGCAGCTGCTCAACCAACTGAGCCACCCAGGCATCCCCAAAATAAATCCTTTTGAATTAAAATTTAATGATGTCATTTTCCTGCTCCAAACTCTCTAAGGGTTTCCCATCACTCTACTTTGTATTTATCGTGATTAATAAAATATGAAGCCATAGTCACCGCCTCTAAGGCCCTAAATGATCCATCTGGCCCAAGCTCCTTTTCTAGCCTCATTTCTTCCCACTCCGACCCTTACTCATTTAGGCTCAGTTCTCCTCACTGTTCCTCAAATAAAGCAAGCAATCACCCTCAGACACTTAGTTCCTTCCCCGATGCCTGTTACATTCTTCCCTCAGATATTCACGTGGCTCCTTCGCGTACTCTGTGAAATGAAGTGAAGGTGCTTGGTCTCCTGTGTTCAGTGCACTTTCCCCCACAACTGAAACTGTGTTTGATTCATAATAAACATCCAACAAATATGTCATATGCATGAATGAATATCCCCTTACAAACCAATCTTCTAAAAAAGAAGTTTGTTATACATGCTTCCTCACATTCCTTGGATCTAGTAACTTCTCTAATCATGTTAGTATGACTTCTACTCACACCACCCCCCTACTCCCCTCTTGCTCTGCTTCTAGCACCTCCATGTTCCCAAAGCCTGTGACCCTTCTCTTCTTTTTTTTTTTTTTTAACATTTTATTTATTTGATAGAAAGAGACACAGCAAGAGAGGGAACACAAAGCATGCCAAACAGAGAGCCCAATGTGGACTCTAACCCAGGATCCTGGGATCACGACCTGAGTTGAAGGCAGACGCTTAACGACTGAGCCACCCAGGTGCCACAACCCTTTTCTGTTTTAATAGCACATGCCCCAAATAACCACTCTCCCCCCAAGAACACTCTTTTGTCACCCAGTACACCAAAGCTGCTAGAGTCAAAGGTTACAAATGGTTGTCGCATTGCCAAAACTGATGATTAATTCTAAATCCTCAGTTTCTCAAACTCAGCAGGACTTGAAACAGGTTGATAACTCCCACGTAAAGCATGCCTCTTCACTTGGCTTTCTGCACACCATATCTCCTAATTTCCTTCTATGCCAGTGGTAGACAACTCCTTTGTCATCCCTTCCACCATGCAAAGATAAAATACTAAGAGTTCCTCAAAATTCTTAGTCCCAGTTCTTTACCTCTAACTAAAGCTGTCCTCTGAGCTACCGCCTGGATATCTGAGTCCCACCTGGCCCCTTCCACCTTGCTGACAGCCTTCCCTCCTTTAACATATCTAAAATCAACAGTGACCCCTCGGCTCCAAAGCTTGCTCCTTTTCATCAGTGGTTTTCACCCGTTGTTCGTGGCAGCAACACAGGAATGATCCTTGACAAATGGCTCTCATCATCACACCAAATTCTGCTGACTCTACTGCTCTATTAAATGTATTTTGAATCTATCCCCTTCTCTCCATTCTCAATACAACCATCCAAGCCAGGTCACCACCGCCTCTCCCTTGGATTGCTCTCAAGGCCTCCTAACGAGCCTTCCCACTGTGACCCTTACCCTGTTACAATCCATTTTCTACTCTACAGCCCAAGTTATTCCTTTTTTCTTTTTCTTTCAATATAATTCATGTCACTCCTGTGTTTAAACCCCCTAATACCTCTTAGGAGGAAATTAAACTCCTCACGTAAACATGGCCTATCTGCTTTCCTTGTTCTGCGTCTCTGTCCTGCACTCCATCATATTTAACCGTTCACCACACTGAACTACTTTCAGTTGCCTATCTATCCTACGATCTCTTTTTGTGCCAGCTATTTCCTGTGCCTATGACACTTTTCCTTTATTCTTCCACTACCTAACTCTTGTTCCTATTTCAGGTCTCACCTTAAACATCACTTTCTCCAGGAAATACTGCAATACTTCCAAATATGCATCAGATGGCTCTCCTATGTGCTAACCACAGCGCCTTGTTTTCCCACATCATGAGACTCATCTCCCTATAGCCATGCCTCCTTTGTTCATCTCTATATCCCCTACAAACCTGTAGATTTCCCTCTCAGGAAGCAGATCATGAGTATCTTGTTCTTTACTGTATCCCCATATCATAAAGTCCTCAACAATTTTTAATAAATGAGTGTGTTTTTATCTACTATATTGTTCAGTGTTTATTAGCTACCATCCTAGAGTAAGCAAATATTTTAACAAGAAGAAACAATGTGTGAATATCCTTTTACTTCCTGATGTTATAATCCACTTTAATTCTTTAGTAAGAAGAAAAACACAATTTTATAACTAAAAGTGGACATTTGAATACATCATGTATAAATACACCAGGGAAATTAAACAACAGTGAGGCTGATACCTCTGGCTTCCTAACAGGGAGGAAGGAAGGGAGGGAGGGGGAAAAAAAAGAAGAGTGGTAATCTTTGTTACAATTCACTAAGATCCTAGTCAATGTACCTCACTTCAGATGTCAAAATATATTCACACATATAATGCAATAAAGAATAAAAGTGAGTGTCAAACAATGCAGTACTGAAATGACAGGTACACAGATACCAGGACTTCTAGTAGCAACTTATAAACATATGGTTCTTCAGTGAGATATCTTAAACATTTCCTTAGAAGCATTTTAATCAGAGACAAAATTGTAAGTATAGCCCTAGAAGTAATTCTGCAAACCACAGATTCAGAAAACCATGAATCCCTCTGTTGAGTTGAATTCTGTTATGACTTAAATAAATTCTATATTGTTCTCCAGATTAGCTTCAAAAACATATCATCTGCTCAATTTAAGCAAGATAATTTCTAGCCACAGTACCTTTGGCTATAGAGAGCCAGCAAGCTCTCATCAGAAGTGACTTTCCAGGGAAAGAAAGAAAGCCTAAGGAGTCTTCTACCTTACTAGGTAAAGAAGGAGGGTCTATTACAAAGGACATGAATGCCTTCTTAATGGCAATCAAAAAGGGTACAACATAATTTTATATGAGGTCACACCTTATCTTTAAGCTTATTTATAAAATCACTGATTTAATTAACATCTTAACAAACACAATTATTTAAAATCTCCAAAACAAGCTATAAGAATAGGAATAACAACTCTATACAGATCAATACAGGTGCTCATAATAGTCTGTCCCTTAGTGCTCACTATTCTATGTACTAGATATGGGGCTATCATCTATATTCCAAGCACGGGGAAACATGTAAATCTCAAGTCACATGGCAAGGGTTTGATTTCTGTCACAGGAAGAGCCCATGCTCTTTCACTCTACTGTGTAGAGTGTGTAGCTATCACTGACCTATTGAGGCATATGAAAAAAGCATGGAAGTGGAACAAAGTGGCCATACTTTTTGGAGGAAAACAGCAATTATCTTACCCTAGAAAAAATTTAGAAATTCAAACCAGGATACTATAAAGTAACTTGTACATTTTAAATATTTATAGCAAGGATGTAATAATCTCCAGACTGGGAGATAACTGGTTGTGTCACTGATGTTATCAAACCCACAAAGCCCCAACCAAAGAAGCCTAATGAAAAGCTATGTGATAAAGCAGTAATAAGTCCTCCTCTGCCACGAGTAATGTGCCTGAAACTCCAATCTTGGGCCACAGAGATCTCACACCCTAATGTCAACATGATTCAGACACTCAAGGAGTTGGAATACTAAACAGTTAGCACATGCGTGAATACTGACTTTTGGAGATAAACCTCACAAGAGAGTAAATTCAAATTTTATCTTTTATTTTTAGAGCACCACATACCTTTTTTATTTATAGCAAACCTTTGCACAGCATCACCTAAAATCTCTAATTTTTGATAAATGATGAGACCAGCCTATTAAAAAAAAAAGCAGAAAAGTGAAAAGAGTATGCTAAAGGTAACCAAAATAAGGCTTTATGTCCCATCTTTAGAAAAATCAACAGTGACTCCCAAAGCACCCAAAAGGATGCATTCAACTTATTATGTTACACAAAGATCTATGGCTACATTAAATCACCATACCAATTAAATCACCATACCATTTAAATCACCATAAAATAAGCTACTTGTGCCTTAAAAGTTTTACATTTTTATCTTTTAATATTCAATATTCTAAGGAGTTATCCAAATCAAATAACTTATAAGTAGGACTCCAACAAAATACAATCAAGTACGAGAAGCGTGTTTTGGCGACACATATCTACTCCCCTGTATCTCATTAAATCAGCTGTGAATGTCGGCTTAATGAACAGCCCTCCTTTCAGGCACTGTTAACAGGAACAACCAAATCACACTGATTTTTCATGAATAAAAATATTACAGAACTTGCACAAGTTCTCAACAAGTTCTATGATTTTTTTTAACAGAATGCAAAGGAAAATTATCACCCTATTTCCTGACAAGATTGAATTTTTTTGTTTTGAAAAAAGGAAGTTTCCAGGCCTAAAAATAGATGTGAAAAGGGAAACAGCAAGATATTCATTTACAAATGAAAGTATAAATTAAGGAAAAAGAAATCCACAGGGACATAAAATGTATTTCCTAGCAAAAAACAAAACCGAGAAATAAATAATGCTGTACATTAAGCCCAAATTTCAGTATGTATGAATATGTAAATATGAAAATACAACTGACTAACAGCAGTGGAAAGCAAAATTTGGAGGTAATTTTCCTAAATTTTTAGCATATTTTAAATGTAAATATAAGAAATAATGCCAGTCTCAATATAGGAACTATAATTATTTTTATTCTGAAGTTGCTTATAAATCAAATACATCATCAATATCATTTGTGTTTGCTCAGCCTGTGTTTACTAGCTATCCATGTTTTCAGAGAGATTACATTGATTACATAGAAATTAGACATTATTTTGGCTTCATGACAATAAAAAATACTAGCAGTGAATAATCCATTGATTGGTACTTGCCAATTAATATTGAGAATTATCAGTTTCACTGTCTTCTTAAGCATGTTTAATGCCAACCTAATTTAAAATATTTGAGTTATTACAACAAAATTTTTCTAAAGTAATTTATTATAAGTTTAAAAAACACATCATAGTTTAAAGATCTTTGATACATACATATGCATCAGTGGCTGCATATAGTTTCTGATCCTCAGTGAGAGGAAAGTCACTCCAATTGCTACAGCGGATAGACCTGTCTTTCAGAAGCTGTTTGCCGAAGAGATGTTTAACCAAACCATTCAGGCTCCAGATCTCTGTACATTTCAGCTGGAAGTAAAGAAAAATCAATACTGCAAAGAAGTATTTCTTTCTATTTTCAGATATTTCTAAATACCAGTAAATGCCCATGCCACAAATAAAGCTAGAAATGTTATACCAAAATATATGGCAGAGTTAGTCCTTAATAAATTTTCCAAATACTGTAATATTAGTTTCGGGTGTCCCGACATGGTGATTCAACACTTCCACACAACACCCAGGGCTCATCACAACAAGTACATGCCTTATGTCTACCTTTTCATTGGCAACATCTGTCAGCTCCACAAAATTCTTCAAATCGATGTCAAAGTCACATAGAAGCTTCCGCTGATCTCCTTTGATTCCCACACCTGCTTTTTTAACTGCTTCATTTTCAAGCAACATTTTTAATCCCTGAGGAAAAACTGTAACATTTTATTATTATTTCCATAGGTTCTATCAAGTATTACTGATTTATTTTCTACTTCTTATACATGCTATGTTTATATTTAAATTTATTTTATGTTAAGATTAAATTCAGAAACACATTCACCTTGAGTATTTCTTTTTTTTTTTTTTAAGATTTTATTTATTTATTTGAGAGAGTACAGAGGGAGAGGGAGAAGCAGACTCCCTGCTGATCAGAGAGCCCGATGTGGGGTTCAATCCCAGATCCCTGAGATCATGACCCAAGCCAAAGGCAGATGCTTAACCAACTGAGCCACCCAGGCGCTGCCACCCTGAGCATTTCTTTTCTTACCTAAAGCGAAGTCCTGACTGATAAATGACAAGAAAAACAACTGGTTTGACTACTTTCTCTGCTAACATTAACAGTATATTCCTGATCATTTAGCCCCTCTAAACTTCACTTCTCTACTGTCTAAACCAGGAATAATAATAATACCTGATGGAGACGTTGTAAAAATAAATAAAACAGGGATATGAATGAATCAGGAGGAACATGAATACTTCAATAAATGTAAGGTGATGAGAAAAGCACCAGCTATTTCAAAAGCTTAATTTTGTAGGGATAAGGTTGACATAATACAACTATCAACCATATAAAAATGAAACAAAGAGATACTAACCTGACATAGAAGAAATATGAAACAAATAACATTTGCTCTCTGACACACATAACTGAATCAGTGCAACTCTGCTCTGTTTCCCTTTACTGTACGCTGGTGGCCATTCCATGTCAAATCCTACCACACCTCCAGTACACAGATCCGTGCTAAAGGGGAAAAATATAGTGCAGATGAGCTACATTAGTATTTTAACTTCTGTATAACTTCTGCATTCCAAAAGTTAAAAGACAAGTCATATATGGTAGAAGATATCTATGATACAAATACCTGATAATGAACAGCCAGAAAATATTAAAAATTCCTTGAAAAGTTGGTAAGAAAAAAAAAAAAAACAGATAATCCGGTAAAAAGGAGGAGGAGGAGTGGGAAGAGGAGGAAAAGGAGCACACTATCAAGTACTGAGAAAGATACCTACCTGCTCAAACACTAGTGAATGTAAATTGGTAAAATCCTTTTAAAAAAGGCTTTGATAATATTTAGCTGAAGATGTATAAACACTATGACCCAGAAATTTTTTCTCATAAATATATCAAACTCTCAGATGCATACAGCCAGACAGATGTTTAAGAATGTTCACTGCAGGGGCACCAGGGTGGCCCAGTTGGTTAGGCATCCAACTCTTGATTTCAGCTCAGGTCATGATCTCAGCATCCTGGGTCTGGCCCTGCATCAGGCTCTGTGCTCATCAGGGAGTCTGCCTGAGGTGTCTCTCTCCTCTCCCTTTGCCCCTCCCCCACTCACACTTGCTCCCATGTATGCTCTCTCATGTTCTCTCACTCTCTCCAAATCTTTAAAAAAAATAATAATTTACTTAAAAAAAAAAGAATGTTCATTGTAATACTGTTCTTTTTGACAAAAATGGAAACAAACTGTATTTCCATCAACAAAAGAATGGGCAAATTGTGGCATATGGAAACAATTAAATATTATATAAAAATTAAAATAGAACTACATATACCAAAAAGGAAAAATTCTCAAAAAAACATAAAATGTTGAGTGGAAAACACAAGTGGCAGAATATACATATAGTTTGATAGCATTTTTTAAAGTTTCTAAATGGGCAATATAACAGCATATGGTATTTGAGGATATAAAAGTATAGATATAATAAAAAACATGTGAGGGAATGTTAAACACTGAACTCATGCTAAAAGTTATCTCAGAGGGCTGCAGAGGGAAGAATCAGAATGGACATACCTGGGGATTCAGCTGTATTTTACCATACCACTTCTTAATAAAGATTTAAAGAAAATGGATATTAAGATTTGCTAAAGTGAGGATTTTGTTATATTATTTTCTATTTTTGTTTATGTTTGCCTATTTTATAATTTTTAAAAATTAAAAATGTATATCACAAAAGAATCTCAATTTCCACTTTGGGCCAAGATGGTAAGACATATCTTTCCTCTATGAACAAACAGAAAATTGGACAAAATAGGTACAGACACTGAACAATAGGCAATACAGGACTGTGCTCTCTGAGGGAAAGAAAACCATGGGGGAGCCCTACCACTGCCCCCACTTTCTACCTGGAACACTTTCCAGGCAACAGAACAGGGAGAAGTCAAAGCAGAGCACTGAGTTAGGGAGACAGGGTTCCCAGCCAGAGAGGCTGAGGGAGCTAGAAGTTGTTTCTGGAGAGGTGGGAGCTAGGCAAGAAAGAGGCTGAACACAGACCAACCAGGGAACCATAGGATGAACAATTCCTAGGGCTTACTTACACGTAGGGAAGAGGCATTAAAGTTCTGAAAAGTGGCCTTAGAGAGTCTTGTTGATCGCCTGGGGCAGTCAGCAAAGACTCCATGAGGGCCACACCTTATTATTATAGGACTAAATTACTCCCAAAGTAAAGACGCCTATCAACCTGCCCTAATAAATCTTAAAAATAATGGCTCAAAAGGTAAAAGCTGATCTTCAGGTAACTTAACTTCCTGACAGAGTGAAGCTCTTTTCTTTAAAGAAAAACAAGCAAACCCAACATTCAGCAAGGTAAAATCACATGTCCAATCAAAACTGCGGACATTAGGAAAAAACAGAAAGTGCGACCCCTAACCAGGATAAACATCATTTCATATAAAAAATCAGTAAAATAATGGAATTAATAGACAAGCACACTGAAACCACCACTATAAATATGCTGAATATGTTCAAATATTTAAAAGAAAACATGAATATGAGAGCCAAACTGGAAGATACTTCCTAAAAAGAAACAAATAGAACTTCTAGAGAAGGAGAAAAGAATAACAGGATGGGGGGGGTACTAAAGAAATTTTTTAAATCTGTTGAGACTAGAAACCCACAGGTCTGAAAAGATCAATGAACCCCCAAGCAGGATGAAGACAAACCACACTACACAAAGTGACATCATAATCAAATTGCTGAAAACCTGTGATAGCAAAAATCTTTAAGCCAGCCAGTGGGGGGGTAAGAAAAAAAAGCCTGCCTATCATAATGCACACAGAATTCATCGGAACTACATTCCTCAAATCACTTATGCTTATTGCCTTTACATATGACATGCTATGGCCCTGACAAAGGTAGAGTTAATATATAATCATAAATGACAGATTTTACCTTCTCTGTGAGACAAATTTTGTTCTATATAAAGAGACCCAATAGCGGGGCCAGTTAACTAGGAGTGAGGACACTTGAATACTATTTCTAGAATTCATCTACCACCAGGAGATCATAATAGCTTAACTTAACTCTGTATCTTTTAACCATTGCAATGTACAACAGTTTAAAAAAAACAAACAGGTATAATAACTTCAAAGAAGATCTGAATGAATTCCTTCCTTCTTCTTCTCCTTGTAAAATGCTTTAAGAGCCTTGGATTGCATTATTGCGTAATCCTAATTTAACAGGGCAATTTTAAAAAATACTAACAGTCATTTCTAATGTTCTTCTTAGGAATCATTTGCTATAACTGTTGCAAACTAAATGCAACAGAGCTGATCACAACCATTATTCACTACTAATTTGCTATTTTAATGAAATATAAAAGGGACATTGGAGGTTGAATAATTCTTACATTTTTTTTTTTTGCCCTACATTGGTGAAATAAACAATGTGTTTAAGTATTTAAGTACTGAAAGTAACAAAAAATTAGCTAATAGAAAGGATTATGAACATGTACATCATACATTTAATCCAGTGATTTTAAGATTTTTAAACGTAAAATTAGAACTTGTCAAATGATATTCTACATGTAGAAATGATTATCTGTAGAACACACATTAACTGTAAAATTCAATCTACTTACAGATATTGTCATAATAGTTATCTTCTAAGGGTTCAAATTCAAATGAAACTAGAAAATTCAAATCTCTTACCTAATATCTTCTGATAGAAAAGAACAATCACTAGCTTCATAACTATAAACAATCGATCCAGTGAATTCTAAGAAAGGGAGGTCATCTTCAAAAACACTCTTCTGAATAGATGCCTTGAGTTAAATAAAATTTCAAAAAGGCACAAATAAAGTCCACATTAAATAAGAGATATTCACGGAAAAAATACAGTTCAATGGAGCATTCAAATTATGGTTCAAGTTTTATCAACTAACATTTTACAGACTAATGAAGTCATAAGGACAATGTAGCAAAAATAAAGCTATCCACTATAAAATTATTTTTCTAAAAAGTTATTTACAAACTTCTACTCCTATTTTCATAAGAGCACTTATAGTATTAATTTTTTTCTGTAATTATATTAGCATTCTAGATGTAATAATGTTGCCTTAAGTTGCTGAAGAATAGCTGGTAGATCTTGTATCTATGAAAACTTAAACATGCTTACCCACAAAAATTCACCAAAGTAAATACCTTTCTAAATTGACTAAATTAGAACAAACTAATAAGGTCAACCCTACACAGCAAGAAAAAAGGTAAAATACAGAGTAAGAATTCCCATTATGTAAACCCCATTAAAATTTAGTCCCATTCACCCAATAAATGACTAAGTTGTGGTTCAATCACACAACAGCTATTCTAACTTAAATGTTGACCTGAAGTTTACAAGTGAAGACTGACTGATTTTATAGTCAAATGTACACTAAATTTCCCATTAATGAATAACTGGTGAACTGCATACCTTTCCTTCTACTGCAGGACAGGTCTCATTCTGCCCAGACATCCATTCAGGAAGCTTCCGCTGCTGTGGAGTTGTTTCCAACTTTTTTTCATTCATCTTTAATAGGCTCCAGTTGCAAAATCCAAAACACAATTACTCTGTGAATAAATACAGTGCAGTCTTTGGAAAAAAAAAAAAGAACTCAGAAAGAGTCCTATGGATACTACTGAGGAACCAAACATGCAAATTTAAAGTTACAGCATTTGGCCCACCTTTAGGTTTTAAGAGCTAGAATTGCAAAACAAAAGGAAACAGATATAATATGCTGGATCTAATAATTATATACTCAGTAATATTTCTTCTTTTTAAAATAAGTGAGCCAATTTAATTGAGTTCTAAGGTTCTAGTAGTTTCAAAATCCTATCATTTTATGACTTTGATCCTTTCAAAGAATAATCTTTATCTCATCACCAATGACAATCCTTGAGTGTGTAAATTCTTACAGATTTTGACATCTTTAATTTTCTTATCATCTGTCCTAAGATCTAAGTAAACTCAGCAAACTGTTGGACTTGTTCACAAGTCTGCTTGAAAAATGAATTTTTAGACAGAGAACAGCTTTTCTATATTAAGGGTTTTCTTTTATTAAGCTCTTGGCCTAGTAAGTGAACAAGTTTCCCTAAGAATAAGAGTTTCGCAGAGGATATTTTTAAAAATCTGTTACTAGCTGTGAGGGCTCTTCTCAATGTAAACCACACGTAAAAAATGGTTATAGAAAACACAATGAATAGGAGAACCATGACAAACTCTTTTTGTTAATGGCAAATGGATCCATACCCTAGCGTGACCTAACACACTAAATTGAAGCAGTTTTAATTTCTTAATAAAATCTTTCCAACTCCAACCTTAGTTCCTATTATCTCAAATTGCGAGTAAAGGAGCAGCAGTTTTAAATATATACCTGAAGATTCTTATGATAAAACATGTTAATATGAAATAATCACAGCAACCACTTATGATTTAGGATAATCTGTTATCCCTATTGATACTTAGCAATATAAACCCAGAAGAAATTACACAGTATCAGCAGGTATCCATTTTAATTGCTCATTTTCTCAAGCATAAAGCCCCAAAACTGAGAATACTGATAATTTATAAAGGAAATTTTTTTAAGGAAATTTTTAAAAGATTACTCTAGCAAAATTTTCTATATAAAACCAACTCTACCACTCTTATGCATTGGGAAGGAAAGGGTTAAAAACAGGCTAGTAATTTACTCTCCTTACTGGGGGAGAGGAAATGAAAGACTTCAATCAGGGATCCCAGTAATAACACTCACGATCTCAAACCAGATGGTAGCCTTGTAAAACTACAATGATATTTACTAGCAGAAAAACACCAAAGCGTACCTATCTAGAAAATGCCATTCACAAGATACAGCTCAACTATCTCGACTGCTCATCACAAATGAGCGTGGAATTCAGAATTTATTAATTTATGGCTGAAAAATGGGGAGTAGTCAAGTAAGCTGTGTCATTAAAACCATATAAAATAGAGGCATTCCAAAACCAACACAACTTCCTTTGTGCAATTTTTTCCCCCCACATTGCTCAAAACTATTCCGTTAATCTAAAACCATAACATGTCCTATTGCAAAAGAAAAGGACATTTTTGGAATCCGTGTCTGACAGTCTGGGGATCCTCCAAAAAAAGAATACGCCATCTGCACTTGGTGCTTGCTTGTATTCTTTGAATCATTAGCAAAGTTTGGCATTGGGTAAGATCTATGATTCACTGAATCAGAATGGACAACTCAAGTTTGGGTGTTACCATTTACATTATATTGGTAAGATAATATATGTAAAATATATGTTTTTATAGTCATCTTACAAAACATTTTACAAATGTTAGTTATTAATACGTTTATATGTGTCACAAATTCAAAACTCTTAACAGGAGAGTTAAAATTTGATCCCAAAGTATACTTTTTATATATGCACTGTTCTTGATCTTAAAATATTATTTTTATGAAGCTGGAAAACAAGTTTTGGCTATACACAAAGTAGATAATTTGCAAAACTGCCAGAAAATTGTGGTTTCTGCAATAATAGACAACTCTATAAAAACACTATAAAATCTTAGTATTTTTTTCGTAATTCATTCACACTGCCAAAACAGAAATAAACTTCAGTAACTCTTCCCTGAAGCCACCTATAACACTAAAATCATTTTAATTTGAAATGCTTAGTTTTCAGATGTAAAATACTCTCTTTCACACACAAAATTCTGTCTAGATGCTTCCAGGCAAAGAATTTGAAAGTAAACTTGTTTAAGGACCTAACATCTTCGTCAAATTTACTTAGATCTCAAGACAGATAAAAAGGACACAGAAAATTAAGGTTGTAGAATAATTTGCAACAAGGAAATTCTTCAAGATACAGGAGGATTTGATCAAATAAAGGTTACTCTCAGAAGGGATCCAAGTCATTGAATGATAGAATTTTTCATTTATATATTTAGCTGTTGTGTTGTTGAGTATAAACAACTTTGACATGTCTTTTTCTAAAATCAAGACTCTTATCATTTCGTAACACTTCATCTTGTACCATTAAAAGATCTTAAATTCCTCTTTGAAATAAATACAGATGGTCCCTGACTAACAATGGTTTGACTTGGGATTTTTCAACATTACAATAGTGCAAAAGCAATACACATTCACTAGCAACCACAGATTTTGAACTTGGATCTTTTCTTGTGCTAGTCCTTTGTGGTACGACCTTCTGTGGTGATGCTGGGCAGCAGCCTGGAGCCACAGCTCCTGGCAACCATTCTGTAACCATGCAACCATTCTGGTTTTCACTTTCAGTATAACATCTAATAAATTACATGAGATGCTCAATACTTTATTATAAAATAGTCTTTCTGTCAGATGATTTTAGCCAACTGTAGACTAACTTAAGTGTTCTGAGGACACTTATGGTCAGCTAGGCCAAGCTATCATGTTCAGGAGGCTAGGTATGAAATACATTTTCAACTTTCGATGGTCTATCTGGGAAGTCCTAAGTCAAGTAAGATTTGTAATATACTTTGATTTGCATTGGTTTGGACTTTCCTGGAATCATCCTGCCTATCTACCCACCATTATCTGCTACTTTTCAGTCTTGATCATTTTTTTAAAGGCTACCTTTAAACATTATACACCTGGGATTTTTATTATTTTTTTATTTTTCAATTTTTTGTTTTGAATAATCCCATTGAACATGTCTCTCAATAGCGTAATTCATCTCATTGCATTTAGTGTAAGAACATGAGTTTTCTCTCTCATTTTACTTTGATTTGTATTTACCTTACTTTCTTCAGTTTTCTTACTTTTTTTCATTTTTCCTGATTGGCTGAAATTGCCATCCGTTCTCTTTTTCCATTATCAATGACAAAATGTCAATTTTTTTCCATCCAACTATTACCATACTATCTCAGCAAAATAATACAACAATATCCCTTCCCCATCCTGACCCTACATTTGCACTGTCCTGTTTTTTACTTTCTACCCTTCTAATTACTGTTTTTTGCTGATATGGTTTTGGCTACAGCCTGTCAGTCTTCTTAGTACTGCTCTTTTATTTCAACAATCCTTATTATTTTCCAAAAATTTATTTTATAAATTTCATCATCTATTTTAATATAAATGTATTTATAAATTTAAAAAATATATTGTTTACTATAGTTTCCTCTTCCCTTCATCTTACTCCTCTTGAATCTTTGTTCTGACTCAACTGTTTAGAGAACTCTAAATTATTTTCATCAAGTAGAATATGAAGGTAATAAACTCTGATTCCCTGCATATGTGAAAATGTATTTCTTCAATAGATAAAATGATGTGTTTGTTGGCTGAGTAAAATAGTCCCTCAGTTGTCTATAGCTATTCGCTTACTGTCTTCTATCTTTTGATGCTGCAAGTAAGAAATTCATTGTTTCTCTGATGCTTTTTCCATCGTGAGTCATCTATTTCCCATCTGGGAACTTGAAAGACTTCAAGGATGTTTAGATTTTAAGGAGCCTAAGTGTAAATTCTATTCTCCTTGGGATCAGTGAGTCCTTGGAAAGGGCTCCTTTCCAAGTCTTTTTCTTAAGATCAGAAAACTTTCCCCTCAATATGGGTTGAATTGCATCCCTCCTCAAAAAAAAAAAAAAAAAGTGTCAGAGTCCTAACCTCCAGTACTTCAGCATGTGACTCTTTATTTGGAAAAAGTCATTACAGAAGTAATCAAATTTAAACAAGGTTATTACAGTGGTCTCTAATCCAAACCGAGTGGTGGCCTCACAAAAAGGGGAAATATGGACACAGAGATGTCTCAGGCATGCACTGAGAGAAGATGTTGTGAAGAAACACATAGAGGAAAAAAGAGCCATCTACAAGCCACGAAGAGAAGGTCTAAAACAGATCCTTCCCCCACAGCCCTCAGAAGAAAACAACTCCACCAACAATTTGATTTCAGACTTCTGGCCTCCAAAACGATGAGACAATAAATTTCTGTTTAATCATGGAGTATGCAGCACTTAACTGTGGCACCTGCAGCAAACTAATATACCCCTATTTTTAGTTTAGTTATTAATTGCCACTATTTCCTCCCTTTTTTCCTTCTACATTTATTCAAATACTGATGAATTTCTTCCTGCCTGGATTTCTTCTCCTAGACTCTATTTTTTCCTTCCTGACTACCATCTCTTGAATTTTGTTCTTTGTATTTTAAGACACTCCTTACACTTGACTTCCAAGATGCTAATTTCACTCCCAATGGTGATAGTCCTTTTCAGTTTGTCTACTGAATTTTTATAATGTTAAGATCTTGATTGTTAGTTCCAAAAAGTTTCCTTAACTTTTTAGCATAAGGAAACTCTAGTTGAGTCTCTCTAAATATGCTTATTATTTCTTTCTTTTGTAGGTTATAATCTAGTCCAAATATCTCTTTCAATAAAAGTTTCCTATTCTGGGTGTTCTTTGGTCTTCTTTCCACTGATGCTGGCTTCCTTAGTTGGACCATTATTTTCCTTTGCCTATAAACTCTATTTATCATCAGCAGTCATCTGCTCTTAGGATCCCTCAGGAACCTGAGAACAGGACAAAAACTGTTAAGTCTTCCAATGAAGTATTAGGAAGCAATTTCTCTATTAACAGGTCT